CTCTTGGCCAGTTAGTCTCTGCTGTTACAGCTGCTACAACTGCTCTGGTAGTGCTGGGTGCCTGGGCAGGATAGAAGATGCCAGCTGCCTTAGTGATCTCGCAAGACCCTGTTTAAAAGGAAAGGAGACAGAAATGGGAGGCAGCCCATCCCAGACACAGGCTCGCCATGTGCTCACAGCCTGGTCTGGAGGGGGGGGAGGGCAGCTCCCTCCCCTCCTCCAGAATTCAGAGTCATCCTTACACCTTGAGGCCAGCAGGAAGGAGAGACCTGAAGGGCAAGGGTCCCCCTCCCCTTTAGTATATCCTGAGATTTCTGGCTCCATAGACAATTCTTTTGTTTTGTTTTGTTTCTGGCTAGGCAATAGGGTTAAGTGACTTCCTGAGGGTCACACAGCTAATAAGTGTTATATGTCTGAGACCAGATTTGAACTTAGGTCCTCCTGAATCCAGGGCCGGTGCTCTATCCACTGCTCCACCTAGCTGCTCCCCCTCCGCCCCAGTAGACAATTCTTAAAGTCCTCATATCCAACAACAGTCAGATTTCTGCCTGCTCTGAAGGGGAGGGAGGGAAGGGTCCTTGCATTATGAAGCATCCCACTGAGGTCCCACCCTGGCACGGGGGACAAAGCCAGGAGATGATAGACTGACAAATGAGGAATAGTAGGAAGGTCCGCCTGGCTGGCCGAGAGAAGGAGTGAAGGGGCCCTGAGTCGGACGGGGCTGGGAGGGTGAGCTGGCCCTCCTCTGTGACAACGGTGGGCACCCTCAGCAAGCAGCCACAGTTTCTCCACTGTAATCACTCACTCAATAGTCATAAGGAGAGGGTCGTGGCAGAAGCTCATCTCTGTTACGTGATCCCAGGAATCATTTGAGAGCTTCACGTGCCCACGAAACACCTGGAAACCCTGGAAGCTGCGGTTTCAGGAGGCTGCGAGTCAGACGCTTTAGAAAAAATCTGCAAATGCTGGGAGCACGAAGAGGATTGGGGTTCTCCTACCCTTTTCTATAAACTGATTGATCATAAAGATGTGGTCACTGTGGAATAAGAGTTGGGAAATCTTACGGTAACCCTCCTCATGCTGACACCACAGTAATGATGCCCTGACCACATCTGAGAAAATGTCAATCCTCAGCAATGTGGATAGTCCCTCCGAGGTGCAGATCACAGCCCGTCCCCAGCAACTCCTGTCCCCGGCCTCCCACGAGTTACTCACGGCAAAGCTACCCAACATTGGAGGATTGTTTTCAGACATTCTTTAGAGAAGCCACGCGGCATGATTCCTAGAACACTTGAAAAACCAGAAATGACAAACTCCCGGTTGTCTGATGAAATCTGTAGTAACACTGTAACTTCAGTAAAACTAAGAAAGTCTTCCAGCCCTTTAGCCAGAACAGTAGCCTTCCAGAACATGAGCACAATCACTTCAAATTTCTTCATAACTATCTACAATGAAATGACCACAAAGCTTCTTCCCCACCTGGCAGGGCTTCCCTCCAAGTCCCCAGAAGATGTGGGGTCTGTCTGTCCACTCTAGGGTCCCTCTCCCCCTGCTTCCACTAACTGGTGTCACCACTTTCTTTATGAAGGTCTTTCTGGATTTCTGGGCCACTCTCAAGGCCATTTGTTCAAGCACTCTGGGGCTTTTCCATCCGTGGTGGACACTGTGGTTGTGTGTAGCGTGAATCTGCCACGAACCATGAGCATCTCTGAGCAGAGAACTCTGTTGGCATCCTTGTAAAGCCACAAGGATTTCCAGACTCCATCCTCTGGCTCTGTGGACTTATGTTTGCAAAACCAGGAGAAAGGGCTCTGCCTCCCTCATGGCCCAGATTCATTCATTCTTCTGCTCCACAGAAGCTTATTCCCACACTACAGGTATTCCCACTGCCTTCTGGGGCCCTTTCATTGTTGTTTTCTCCCCATTAGGATGTTAAGTCAAATCAACTGAACCCTAACCATAAATATGTTAAGAACTTATTACTACTATTATGTGCCAGACACAGTGCTGAGCAAAAAGAGGCAAAAGGCAGTTCCTGCCCTCAAGGAGCTCACAGTTTAATGAAGGACACCACCTGAAAACAGGATATAGACAGGATGAATTGGACGTGATTGAGAGAAGGAAAGTACTAGCATTAAGAGGGACCAGGAAAAGCTTCCTATAAAACGTGGGATTTAAGCTGAGACCTGAAAGGAAGCCAGGATGGGGAGAGGAGGACCTTTCCAGGCATGGGGGGGGGGGGGTTGCATAGCCAGAGAAAATGCCCCGAGAGAGGAAATGGAGTGTTTTGTGCCAGGAACAGCAAGGAGGATCACAGAACTGGGGAGTAAGGTGTAAGAAGACTGCAAAGGTAATGAGAGGGAGGAGTTATAAAGGGTTTTGAATGCCAAACAGAGCATTTTATATTTGTTCCTGGATGATCCCTATCTAGGGAACCACTAGGGGAGGGGGGAGGGGAAATGACATGGTCAAACCTGTGCTTTAGGAAGATCACTTTAGTGGCTGAGTGGAGGGCAAACTGGAGTAGGGAGAGACTTGAGTGAGGCAGAACCCCAGCAGCTACTGAAACAGTCCAGGGATGAGGTGACTGGCACCTGTCTTTGGGTGTCAGAGGAGAGAAGGGGTCATATTCCAGAGATGCTGCAGAGGTGAAATCAACCAGAGATGCTAGAGAGGTG